CCTTGCTAAGGTGACACTTGAGAAAAAACCTGAAGGAGGTGAGGGAGGGAGCCATGTTGTTATCTTGGGACACAGCCATCCAGGCAGAGGCCATAGTGAATGCAATGACACTGAGACAGGGCTGCCTAGCACCTGGGAGGAGCCGTAAGGCTAGAGTGGAGAAGACAGAGCAGAAAGGAGTACAGATCGCAAAAGGCCTGGTAGGTCTTAGCAACCAGGGACGTGAACCACAGGGTTTTGAGAAGAGGGAGGAAGAGGATGCCGATGGCTCCACAGAGAGGTGGGTGGAGTGCAGCAAGCTCCGAAACCTGGAGAGACTTGGAACAGCCCAGGCGAACACCGAACACTGAAGGCCCAACCAGGTGGTAAGAAGAGGTCAGATTCCAGGCAGGCTTTTTGCTTTCTTTAAGTTAACTTTCCTTTTTTTTTAGATTTTTAAAGATTTTATTTATTCTTTTTTTTTCACATTAATAAAGGTTTATTTCTGCTGAGGTAACAGGACTAGCTGTGGGTCTGCTCCATGGTTCAATTCCAGGGTCCAGGCAAAAAGGGGCAGCCCCTAACTTGGTTGCCTGAAAGTACATGGTGGTTGCCATATTTATTCATTTTTAAAAGAGAGAGGAAGGCAGGAAGAAAGAGACAGAAACAGCAATGTGATGGATTGGTTGCCCGGGCCTGTAACCCAGGCACGTGCCCCAGCAGGGAATCAAACCAGTGACCTTTGGTTTGTGGGACAATGCTCAACCTACTAAGTCACACCAGTCAGGGCCCAGCCAGGTTTTAAAGGCAGGGCTGCCCTGGCTGGTGTGGCTCAGTGGATTAAGTGCTGGACTTTGAACCAAAGGGTTGCCGGTTCGATTCCTAGTCAGGGCACATACCTGGGGAGCAGGCCAGGTCCCCAGTGGGGGCCATGTGAGAGGCAACTACACATTGATGTTTCTCTCCCTCTCTCCCTTCCCCTCTCTCTAAAAAATAATAGATAAAACCTTTAAAATATATATATATATATATAAATTAAATAATTTTTAAAAATAAATAAAGGCAGGGCTGACAGGGGGGATATGAGATTTGATAAGTAATCTTCATAAGCTACAAGGCATGGCCCAAAGCAAATATAAATTTGGAGAGTTGTTAACTGAGGCAGGAAGGCTGTTGGGAGGATCCAGCTTGGGGGCCGCGATCAGAAGTTGATTTTGGACGTCATGTTCAATGTTGGGTGAACCTCAGACATCCCAGGGGGTGGGTCAATCTGGGGTCAGGGTTGGAAATAATGTAGGAGACATCAGCTTGTCAATGAATTAGTGGCCAGGCTGAGAACTGGCAACTGGACTTGGCACAGTGGACGTCAATAAGTGGTCTCAAATAAGTACTTCTGGTGCTGTGGGGGCCCAGAAAAAACAGGCTGGAAAATACTGGAGCCAGACAAGTCTTTTAAGAAAATCTGCCATAAAGGACAGCAGAGAACATGGGGGCTGGAGCTGACAGAGAATCGGGGGGAATTTCGTGTTTTTTTAAAAGGGTTGCTCCCCTGCCACCCTTTTTATTGATCCCAGAGAGGAGGGAAGGAAGGGAGGGAGCAAAACATAGATGTGAGAGAAACATCAATCAGTTGCCTCCTGCACATGCCTGACTGAGGACTGAACCCAAAGCCTGACCAGGAATTGAACCTGGGACCTTTTGGTTTGTGGGAGGACACCCATCAACTCAGCCACTCCAGCCAGGGCCCAGAGGGCTTTTTAATTTGGCTGTTTTCATTGGTTATATCAGGCTGAACTTTCCATTCTGAACAATTTTAAATATAAACAAAAGTAGAAAATATAGGATAATGAGGCCTCATGACCCCTTAACACCAATTCAACAATTACCAATCAAGGCTAAATGTGATTTGTCCCTCCCTGTCTCCCATTTCCCTGGATTACATTAAAGCAAATCCCAGTATTCATTACACCTGTAAATATTTCAATATGTATATCTAAAAGGATAGGGGATCCTTAAAAAGACAACCACAATACCACTTTTGAACCTAAAAATATTACAATACTTACAAATATCCAACCAGTGTCCAAATATCAATACATACAAAAATTACAATACTTACAAATACCCAATCTAGTTTTTTTCTAGCTTTTTGCAACAACTGTTTATCTAAGGCTCTTGTAAGTTTTCCCCTCGATCTCTCAAACTTTTCCTTTTCTTCTTTTTTCTTGAGATTCATTTGTTGGAGAAACAGCATTGCTTGTCTTGTGGACTTGCAGTTTGGATTTTGATGATTGGGTCAGGAAAGGTGGTGACATCTATCCTATTTCCTGTGACTTGGTGTATAAATCTAGAGAAATCTAATTGGATTCAGGGCCCACTTTTTGGCAAGTGATGACCTCTTAAGCTCGGGGTGTGTACTCAATTTCCATCAGGAGACGCAAAGTCCAGCTGTCCCTCTTTTCACCAGGTTAGGAGCAGACGAAATCCTTGTCTAGATCCCCTATATATTCCAATAAAGGCTACAAAATGGTACCAGTGATACCAATTCTATCATGAAGAGTTTATTTTGTTTATATGGTGAGAACCAGCCTGTTTGTATGCGAGTGGGAATAATCCCATAGAGAAGGGTAAATGGGGGGATGCCTGGCTTTGACCTTTGGCGGCAACCCTTAACTGGAAACTTGGTTCCATATTCGGGACCTGACCTGACTCCCTTGACCCCTTCCTCTCAATCTGTTCGCCACCCTCAACTTCTAGTCCCCGCCAAGTCCATTACGATCTACTCCTGCCTAACCTCTACCCTAGGCCAGCTCCAGCCTTCGCCCCTGAAAACGGACTTGCGGGACAGCCAATAGTTTAAGCTACAGAGGGACAGAGCCTATACCGCGGGAGAAGAGGCGGGTCCTGGGAAGAGTCAATAGCTGGAGTGGGCGAGCCAGACCAGTAGCCCTGAGCGAGAAGGCGGGGCGGCAAGGAAGCCAATCGCTAGAGAGACTCGGCGCAGCCGCACCTAAAGGCTCCGGGGTGGGGGCATCACCCTGACCCCGACAAGTTCGACTCCCGGACTCCGAGGTTATGGCCGGGAGCGGGTGGCTGGCACTGAGAACATTTCCCGGGCCTAGCTGGGTGCGCGGCTCGAGCCCAGCCGTGCTGAAACGCCTGCGGGATGCGGCTGTGGTACGGCCTGGCTTCCTGAGCGCGGCCGAGGAAGAGACTCTGAGCCGCGAAATTGAACCCGAGCTGCGCCGCCGCCGCTACGAATTCGACCACTGGGATGCGGTGAGGCCGCGTCGGGGGCGGAGCCACGTTAGAGGCGGAGGCAGGGACGTTGGGAGCCGCGACGCGAGTGTAGCTCAGGAATGGGGTGGTGCTAAGATGAGGGCGGTACCTAGGTTGGGGGCTATCGGGGCGGGGCCACAGTGGGGACTGGGCCGAGGAAGTGCGGCACTGGGTGGGGCGGGGCTACGTCTGGGGCAGGACCTAGGGAATAGGGACGGAGTCTTGAAGCTTGGGGTCATTGGAGGCAGAGAAAGCACGTAGAAGATGAAGGGCAGAGCCGTACGTACCTGGATGCAGGAGCCGGAACTGAGGGGGTGTTTAGGATGCAGGACCAAGGTTAAGGAAAGAGGTGGAACGAGATGAGGAAGGGTCACCGGCTGGGGGCGGAGACTGACTCAAAATTGAATATTGGGACGGGGCCAGTATTGGGGGCAGAAATTGGTGCTGAATGGGAGCCCAAGGCTGGGTACAAAAGACTGAGGCCAAACTAAGTGGGGCAGGGGGCAGGATTTGAGACCCAGGATTATGGTTTAGTTATGACAAAGTTTGTGAGTTGAGGGCGAGGTCAAGAGTCATGCCGGCAAAACCAGACCCTTGCTCCACGCTCTGTCCCTCCGACTCCCTCTCGGTTTCTGTTCCCCTCCCCCAACGGAGTTTCCAGGCTTGACCTGAGCTCTATGCAGGCAATCCATGGCTTCCGAGAGACAGAAAAGTCGCGCTGGTCAGAGGCAAGCCGGGCCATCCTGCAGCGTGTGCAGGCAGCTGCCTTTGGCCCAGACCAGACTCTGCTGTCCTCGGTGCACGTGCTGGACCTGGAACGTCAGGGCTACATCAAGCCACACGTGGACAGTGTCAAGGTGGGCAGAGGCCAGCATCTTGGAGCTCCCAGCTGGGGATGGGCCAGCTGGGCCAAAGCCTGACCCATCACCATGTGCCCTCTTCCAGTTCTGCGGAGCCACTATTGCTGGCCTGTCCCTGCTGTCTCCCAGTGTCATGCGGCTGGTGCATACCCAGGAGCCGGGAGAGTGGCTAGAACTCTTGCTGGAGCCAGGCTCCCTGTACATCCTTAGGTACTGCCAGTCAAGGAGCCCCCGCCCCACTAGTCACTGGTCAGAAACTAGCCAGCCATTCCAGCACCATCTCTCATTCAGTCCTCACAGCAAACACCATCATCCCCTACACAGCAGACACTCAACCTAGAACAGGGTTACCCTTACCCCACCCAGCCACAGCCTGTTTTCTCTTTCAGAGACTCAGCCCGTTATGACTTCTCCCATGAGATCCTTCGGGATGAAGAGTCCTTTTTTGGGGAACATCGGGTTCCACGGGGCCGACGCATCTCTGTCATCTGCCGCTCCCTCCCTGAGGGGATGAGGCCAGGGGAGCCTGGGAAGCCTTCCCCAGCCTGCTGACCCCAGGCCCTTCTTCCAGCTTCTCAGAGACATGTTTGTGAATAAAGCTAGAGAATGGACAAGGCAGCCTTCCTTGCACTGGCTGTTTGCTGTGGCTGGGGTCTACAAGGAAGCCCAGGATGCACCTGCCCACCAACCAGGAGCTAAGGTGGCAGGGTCAACATGCACCCCACTAAACACAAAATCACGAGGTCTCAGGGGAAATTTCCTTTATTGTGTTCCTTGCTGGCAGTCCTGGGTGCCGCCTCCACTTTCTCATCTCAGCATCCAAGTCTCCAGTAAATAAGTCGGGACTCCTGGTGTGGCTGCAGGGCCCCAGGCCAGGCACTCTTAGCCACCGCAGCCACAGGCAGCCGCTGAGAGCTGGGGTAGCCACTGCCAGTGGTGGTGGTCATCCAGGAAGGCCACGTCAGCATAGCGGGTGGGCCGGCAACAAGGGCCACCACGTGCTCTGCCCTGGCTCCGCAGGTGGGCCAGCGTCAGGCTGTGCTGAGTGTGGGCACCTTGGGGACAGCTGCCAGCACAGTATCGGAAGATGATCGTTTCCTCTGAAGAATAGCCTAGGCCCAGATCTGCTACCGGCAGGGCCAAGCTCCACAGCTGGCAAGGGCCAGCCGGGGCTCTGCGCAGACGGGCACCTGGAGGGGACAAGGGGCAGCTGACTGGGGGCAAGGGTTGGCCAGAAAGGAGTTGGGGAATCACACAGGGTCCTGCGGTTCCTTACCCAGCTGTGGCCTCCAGGTCCGCATGTCTGCTGCTAGCTCAGATGAGAGCTCTCCCTCCACCACCAGAGCCTCTGGAGCACCAGGGTCCCTGCCAAGGCCCAGCGGCAGGGACAGGAGCAGCAGAGAGCCGAGCAGGACTCTTCCTGTGGCCATTGTGATGAGCAAGTCCTGAGGGTAGGGGATGCCCTGCACCCTCAATTTATTCTCATCTGGACTGGAAAATAACCTCTTCACTGCCGGCTGCTGCATGGGCACAAGGGCCCCGTGTTCCCCACCGGCCAGTCTCCCATATCCTCAGACCTAGGCAGGCTGGCTCCCTCTGCCCCTCGTTCTGTCCTTCTAGGAGTTAAGGGCTCACCCCCACACCCAGACATTCCACAGACCCATTTCCGACATTCCCTCCATCCCCTGATTTACGGGAGTTGTGGAGGCAGCCAGGGCCCAGCCCAGGGTGAGAAACCAGGGTCCCCACCCCACCTGCCGTCTGGAGACAGAGGTGGGGGGTGGTTCTGTGGGTCCCCCAGTGGGGTCCCCCTCTCCACTCAGGTAGGGTGCTGAGGCTCAGGAGCCCCTGTGTTGGGCACCAGGTGGAACAGACGTATGTGTGGGGAAGAGGTGGGTTGGCAGGTGAATTGGCTAATGGAGCCTCCTCCTTCATGGTTCCCGCCTGGAGGATTAAGCATCATGCCCATGTCTGTGGGCCTGGCTGAGCCAGTGTCAAAACAGGAAAAGGGAGAGGCCTCAGCAGAGCCAAAGGCTGGGACACAAGGGGCAGGAAGCTCACCCTGTAAGACTCCAGTCTCTAGAAGTCCCACCTGAGGACCATAAGACCTCAGCTTTGTCCTGGTGTCCCCAGCATCAGAGCGAGAGAGGAGGTTGACTCCCACTGGGTCTTGGAGGCGGTTGCAAGTCACAGTGACTTCCACACTCAGCCCCTTCAGCCACTGGGAAGTGACTCTGCCCTTCATCTATGAAAGGAGACCAATCAAAGTCCCTCCCACATGGGGTTCTGAGGACAGTCAGTGTTCAACATGGTACCTGGCGCTGAGGAGCCTGGGAGAGCTTTGGGGGCAAAGGGAAGTCAAATAGCTTTTGCATGTCTGAAGAGGTGTTCGACCTCAGTGAGACTGAGTTCAAACTCAAGTGAGACTTGGCACCCAAGACTGGTAAAAATCCAAGATTTGCTTCCACGTGGCTGGGGTGCATGTGTGACACAGGCACACCCCCATGCACTGGGTGGGGTGTAAGTTGGTAGCAGTTGGGCATTTGCTACTCAAACTGCACATCCTATCCCTTAAAAAAAACCAAAATTGCTTCAGGAACTTGTCCTCCACAGGTGAGCAAAGACACAAGCGCAGGGCTATTCACTGCTGGTTGCTTGCATCAGCAAAAGACCAGAAGTGACTGGAAGTCCACATACAGGGATTGCTTCAATAATTCGGTGTGGTGGTTCTAACTGTAGTCCTTGAGACTACATTCAGAAGGAAAAGAAGTCACTTGTCCAAGGCCACCAAGAATTAAACACAGGCAGGATTTGAACCTAGGTCCCAATGAACCAAAGGCCCTGCTTCTAAGCACTGAGGCACATGTCCTGGCCTAATGAGGAGGCCCCAGACCAGTCTACATGGCCGCAAATGCAGGGGCGAAATTGCCAGGTCAAGGGGTGAAGGCTTCCTTCCTGTTGCCCAAAAAAAGCCTGGTGGAAGTAAGGGAGTGGGAGGTCAGACAGACCTGGGACATTCCTAGGAATTAGCCTTACATCTCAGGCATTCCTGTTTGACAGCCAAAGTCCTGTGGAACTGGGTGGGGAAGAGTTTTCCACCTGCAGTTTCCAGCCAAGGGCAAGATGGAAACCCAGACGCTCAGGATGGGTGTTCAAAAGTAGCACCTGCTGCCAATTTCACTTCCAGCAGCATTCTTGTCCGTGCACAATCCTCCCACTACATAACACCCACCAAAGCTGGAAAAAATAAACGCATAACCACCGTGTAACTGAAGACCCAGAAACATCACTGGAGAGAGAGCCCAAAACCCGGCCCAGATGCCAACGTCAACAATAAAAGGGGTTTCGGTTTTCGCTGCCCTGGAGGGATAGAGCCCGTGGGCTGAGAGTCCTAAGTGGGCGCAAGCTGGGACTCCTGGGACACCTGGTATGAGCAAAGGCAAAAACCATCTAGAAGGGCTAGACTGCAAAGTAGACCACCCAGGAGTCCCACAGACCGAGCCCCCAGCTGGCCTCCAGTTCCCGCATCTGAGATTGCAAAAACAATTGATTAAAGAGTCGCCAGAAGATAGAACAGGATGCCAGTGAGCTTCAGGTGCTAGTGTGTATAATGGAAACTGTAAGACAAGATGCTGAAAATGAAAATGTGAAAGAAAGGATGAAAAACATTAAGGGCAAAACACTCAACACAAACCAGCTGATCTAAAAAAGAAACCAAGTACTTAGTGTGTTGGTGGCGGATAAACTGCACCCCACAAAGTGCAAGGCAGAACTGAAGGACTCACCTCAGAAAGTAAGTTCTACCAGACACCTAAAGATTCCAGAGGGGGGAGGGGAGAATGAGAGAAGTAAATTGAGGAGAACGCTATTTCGGGTTTCCCATACTTTTTAATGCTGCTCCTGGGAGTCAGGGAGCAGGAAGACAGACGGGCAGTTGGACCCATGGCAGTGAGTGTGAATTCAAGGATCCAGGAACTTCTGGTGACTAGAGCTCATGTACTGTGCAGACGGGTGGAGCCAGCCCCTCACTCCTTGAGGGAGAAGTGCATCTTGTCGTTGATCATCTTGCGCTCAGGGTTGAGGCGCTTGAGGATCTGGGCGAGCACATTCACTGTCTGCTCGCTGCTCAGCCCTGTCTTCTTGGTCTGGAATTTCTTCAGCAGGTCCTTGGTAGTCATGGGCTTCCGTGTCAGGTAGCGGCGCACGGCGTCCTCAGTCACCTGCACATCCCTGAGGAGCCCAGTGGGGATCGGGGAGGTGAGTGGGAGGCCCTCCCTGCTGGAAACCCACATCCTGCCCCTGCTGTCTGTGCCAACTTACCCGCTGCTGGGGGTGGATTTCCCAGACTGGGGCTGAGGGGTGGACTTCCCAGACAGGCTCTGGGGCCCGGTGTCCAGCCGCAACCGCTTGGCTGCCGTTATCTCATTTGTCCGCTTTCCTATGGGAGCAGAAGCAGGGCTCAGTATTAGCACTGGGAGGCTGAACCTGTCGGGAGGACCCCAGGCTGGGTGGTGCCTGGATTATGGGTACGAGGGGCTCAGATCCCGACAGAGCAACAGAACAAGGAGTTAAGAGGTCATGCTGGGGCAGGAAGGCCGCTCACCCTGCTCCAGCTTGCTGGCAGCAGCCCGAAGGGTGGAGGAGGTGTTGCCACTCTCTGTGCTGGGTGTGCCGGGCCGGCTGTTGCCCCTCGAACTGCTCCCTGACGGCTTCCGCTCCCTCTTGGGGGGCGTCTTCTTTTTCTGCAAATTTTAAAGGATTGGGGATGTTGGTCTGGAAACAGACACCAAGGCCGACACCACTTCCCCCGACCCTGCGGGCAGAGCCTTACAGCCATGAAGAGGGCTGAGGAGGCCTCACTGTCGATGTCACTCTCTTCTGAGCTGTCAGACTCGTCACTGCTGTCTGTGTGGGACCAAAGAAGGGATGTCAGGATCGGACACCTGTGCTCTAGCTCAGCTCTAGCTCAGATGAGGGGGTCTGGGAGGGAGCAGAGGGGGCCGAAGCCTCAAAAGCCAAGCCCACCTCTCCTCCGCTTCTTCTCTTGTGGCGTGGGTGCCTTCTTCTCCTCTTCCTCCTCCTTGTCCTCCTCAGGTGGCTTCTCTTCCTCGCTCTCCTCGCTGCTTTCACTCTGCTCATCGACACCCTTGGGGCCCTCCTCCTGCTGGGTGACCTTGGGTTTGCCCTCCAGCTCTTCCTCAGAGCTGCTGTAAGATAGAGGGCAAGTGAGCGCTTCCTCTGGGCTGGCCCAGGGCCTCACACCAGTCTCCTGCCTGCCTCACCTGGAGCCGTCAGACATGTAGTCCACCTCCTGGCCCTCGAAGTCCCCATCGTCGCTGTCTTCAAAGGCCTCATCATCCGACCCCTTCTTCTTCTTCTTCTTCCGGCCTACCTTAGTTGTTGGCGCCTTCTTCTTGGCCTTGGGGGCTTTGCCACCTAGGGAAGTGGAGCACTCATCATGCTTTGTATATTCGATGACACTGGGACATCTCAGGGGTCCTTGACAACGGGGGGGGGGGGGGGGCGGAGAGGGAGATGTCTAGGGCTAGACAATCTTCAGAGAAGGCAAAGGGCTTACCTAGGAGTGCACTTCCCCCCGTGCAAACCAACCAATCCGGGATCTATACCCCTGGCCACACCCTTTCTCTGATCTCACACTCAGGGCCACTGTCCCCTGCCCTAATCACCCTTGGACCCCAGAGCCCACTAGGATTGCTCAAACTGGCAAACCCTAAGTGATCTCCCTGCCTTGCCTTGTCTTTCCCTTGGAAACTCCAATAAACAGTGAGGCCAGGTCTTCCCATCACTCATTTCTGCCTCTTCCCCACTCAGGTGCTGCCCCAAGTGGCCCTGCATGACATACTGTGCCTGCCTCTCATCTCCCAGTAAAAACTGCACCGAAATTCTTTTTTCAATGGCATTAACCATTCTGTGTTGCCTCTCAGCCAGCTTTATAAAGACCAAGGCACAACTCAGGCAGTAGTGCCGACCACCCCAGCCACCAGGGCGGGGTGTTGCCCAAGCTCACCCTCCTCGCCACTGGCCTCGCTGTCATCAGACGACATCTCCAGGTCATCCTCTAGGTCATGGATACGCAGCTCGCTGGCCTTCTTGCGGCCACGCTTGTCCTTCTCCTCATCTTCCTCATCATGGTCCTGGTCCTTGAGCCGCCGCTGCTGCATGATGCTGAAGTGGTTCAGGACTTTGTTCCTCCTGTGGGCAGGGTGGGGGCGCAGTGGGGTCTGACAACGGGCCTGGCTCCAGGCCCCTCCCCAGGAGCCTGGCGTCCTTCCTGCACCTCCCTGGGTGTTCACCAGAGAGGAACCCCAGACATGACTGGGGTGAGAGGAGGGACAATTAGACCCCAGGGGACGCACACACAGCATGAAACACCATGAAACTGCACAGGGAGAGCTGACCCCGAGGCCTT